TCGAAGCTTTTGTTCAGCAGTATGACGCTGTCAAAGTAACTCTATACATCGCTGAATCTCTGTGGTTCAGCGAAAAGAAAACTTCAGTTGGTTAAATACAATACAGAAGCAAAGCACGAACGAAAAAAGCTCAGTCTGCAAACAAGCAAATTGAGAAATGAATGCGTGTCACACGTAACAAAGAAAGAAGATTTTAATCATAACGTTTTACGATATACTGAGAAACGTTCATGGTTTAAAATGTGTAGTATAAATTTCATAAAGCTAGTGCTGAATATCCTTCTTCTCTTTGGAAATACCTAGGATTTTCTACGTGCTTGGGGATTATTGTTGTATCTTCATTTACCACATTTTATGTTTGAATAACAACAGCATTTTGTTTCGGTTGTCGTTCAACATTCGTAGGTGGTATTCCAACTTGATTTGCCCTGTAATCGAAACAACACAGTTTTCTAATCATAACGATGAACCGTTCACGGAAGGTTTTAGAAGATAAAATAAAAATATAGAATGGAGAACAAAATTCAATCGTAAAAATGTAACGTGTTATTAGTACAAACAGAGAGTCTTGTGCGGTACGTAACGCATCTTTCGCTAGTTTTGCTGTAAATAGTGTGTATGCAGTTTGCACACAGTACGGAATCTTACATAAAATAAAAACAATTATCTGCATTAAAATCATCTTTGTCGTTTGTTCATTCACATATGTTCGGTGAGATTGCCTTAGATGTTTTTGTTTAATTATATAAAGATTTCTGGTTGTTAGAGTTCCTAATACAGATAGTAGGATGATGGGCACAATGCCATAAAGCATCGGTATCTGAAAATAGGATGTATACTCTTTCCAAGGACTCGAAACAATTGTACATGCCAATATGCCATTAGCACTACGTATCACATCGTAATAAATCAACGATGGTATATTAACAAATGACCAAAGTGAACATACAATCAACGTTGAATAATGGGCCACTTGCATATTTGAGAAACTGCGCACATATGCAGACCTCGATGAGCTGACATAGCGATCAAATGCTAGGAGACAAGTGATTGAAATGGATGATAAGGATGCTGCGGGTGTCATTATATACCTTATTTTGCAATAAATAACACTATTTGTTGATCCGTCGACACCAAAACCGTCAGCTAGTATCCGTACTAATAATGCAAATAATAACTGTATTGAATTGACTATAGATAACACAATAATGTAAAACGAAGATGGACATTTCTGTAATTGTTTTATGGAAAATATACAAATATTAAGTATATTACCTAATAACCCAAAGATGAATAATGATATTCCAAAATATAGTGAAATTTCTTTGCCAATGAGCATTAAAATTGTAATTATCACTGATGTTGTCGGCATCATTTATATTTTAACTAAGGAGACAAATACGACAGTAACGTTTACAATCTTCGAGTCTTACTCTAATCACCGATGATACAAACATGTCTAGTATAACGACAAATGTATACCATCTGTAATCTAAAAGGAAGAGGAAAGCGAGATTATTAGAAAGACATATTTATTTGAAAAGAGGAACTTTAATATCCTCGAAATAATGTCTCACTAAGTAAATCAGAGACATCATGATGTTCACGTTGATAATAGATTTTTATAACAAGCCCTCGTTACAGGCTGATTAACAATCAGACCCATTCTTTACAATACCGTATTGTAAAGAATGGGTAATTGGATTACAAACACAAACGCAGTATAGATGACACATATCTTCTATTTAGTTACTTTCATTTTTTAATTCACGCAGGATTAATTTCAGAGCTAAACTCTATCGTGCTCAGCAGAAGAATAAATTATACACAATTGATCTTTCTCTTTTATTTATCATAAAATTTCTTCTAATGTTATTTCAATTTTACGGTTATTAAACTAGGAAAAAGATGATATGCTTTTATTTACAGACAAAAACAGAGTGATATAAAAACTTTAGTACAGTGGCGGCTGCAATACCCTTAACTTGGCTCACCATGATTAAGAGTTTATAAATATAAATTCTTACACACAAATTTTAGACCTATGCTGTGAGTACTAGGAGAACTGAGCGATATCATGGTTGCTTGTAAGTTTTCCATGTTTGGTTTTCGTTCAGATGTTCACCAGTTCGTGTACAAAAACGTTTATATGTTTTTCCAATATAAAATTCTCCACAGACAGGGCATGTCGCTTTATAGACACATTCTATAAGCGACGAGAAAAATCACGTCATATAAATGGACGAAAGGAGAAAATAGGAATAATGAAGTAGAGAGGTATGGTATGAGCAAGGTAACGCTCGTCTACACTCGCTCGGTTCCTTGACTTTAGGAACTTATATCTGCGAATGACTCTCCATCACTTTTGAATGCATGACAACGCAAACAACAAACTAGCAAGAATAACATGATGTACCTCTTATTCGTCTGTCTTGTCGTTTATGTGCTCTTTGACAATGCATATATTAAATATCTATCATGAATAGAAGATATAAAAGGTTTAGAAAAAGAGTCGCTGGGTTAAAAACACTGTAAAAATATTTCAGTTCATTGAATAAATCACATCAAAACAGGAAAAAAGAATTTAAAAATAAAAGCAACATGACTGTCATAAGACGGAAAATCAGCAGACAGAGCATTGCAAAAATAATGTGAATTATTGTCTTGATAAGAAAGATGGATTGATATTTGACATGAGTAAGTTCTCTTCTTTTATTTATTTGATATTAATAATTAATTAACAAAAACTAATGACGTTTCGTATCTGGATGATACTTTTTCAGATATTAAACTTAAGACAAATGACTCAACATATAGTAACCTACAAGTAAAAATAAGAACAAACCAGACTATTCTTTTCGTCTTTTCTTTCTTAGTCATTGATACTGATACGGAAAAGGATTAAATTCCTATCTAGCTATTACCGGATCTAATATTAAAAAATACTAAAAAAAACTACTAAACTAATATTAAAAATCAATTAAATATTTTTCCATCTTATTCAAATATTACTCTGTTGAGTATTTTTTTTTTATTTAAATATTTTTCCTTTGTTTAAAATAATTAAATATTTTCCTGACTGACTAAAAACTGCTTTAATATTGGCCTCATCGCCAGCTTTAATGTTCGTTTTTTTCTGAAGAATAATTAAATAACTTTCTATCTTACAATAAGAAGAATATGTAGTAGTTCAGGCTGAAAATTATTTAATTGATTTTTAACCCTTTGATGCCAGCACACGCATATGTGCGTGTTGAAGTTTCTTATCATTGCTTCTATATAACAATAAAATTTGTTTCAGACATTTTTTGAAAGAAAAAATTTTCATTTTTTCAAAAAAAATTCCGGCGCCAAAAGGTTAATATTAGTCGTTTAATATTTTTCTTTTTAACATTTTTCGGCATATCTCTCTTATCGTCTTGTTTTCCGTATCACTATCAAAGAATGACTAAGAAAGAGAAGAAAAACATAGTCTGATTTGTTCTTATTTTTACTTGTAGGTTACTATATGTTAAGTCATTTGTCTTAAATTTAATATCTGAAAAAGTAACATCGAGATACGAAACATCACTAGTTTTTGTTAATTAATTATTAATATCAAATAAATAAAAGAAGAGAACTTACTCATGTCAAAAATAATGTGAATCGAGAGAGATGAAAGAATGTGCTTATTTCATAAACAAAAATGATGGAGATCCGAGAAAGGAGTGTGAGAAGCAGTCCTTTTAAGAATAAGTCTGAAAAACTGCCACTTAAGATGCATTTTTTTTTAGAATTCGCCAGCAAGTAATTTTCTCTTTTATACGCTGCTATGATCCGCGCAGTTCTGTCATCAAACTAACTAAATTTCTATAGACATAGCTCTCAAGTTAAAAACGCACTGACAGTAAACCGAAAGGTTTCCTACTGACCCTAATCTTCTGAATCAGCGCTGCTTTCTTCTGAATTCTGAATGACATACTAAAACTATGTTATCAAATAATCAGAGATCAGTTTAAAGAAAGAACAAAAGCAAATAAATGAGTTGAGCATCGCACAACATCGCGAGGATGGTAGATGGGCTGCTAAGCAGTTGGTATGCTTAGTACTATGAAAGTGCTATGAAATTAGAACGAATTTTCTGCAGCAATATACTTCTAACACTAAACAAGTCATTTGAATTCGAAATTGAGCTTTTTTAACATCTCAGGTATAAATCGCAGCAAAAGCAAAAAAAATGATCTAAAGAGTACAATTTCGACTTAAATTATATGAAATTGTAGAACATGATCACGTACAAATTTTATCAAACGATTTTGTACGGATCGTACTACACGATTTCATACGAAATACTCGACCGTCATATAATCAGACCTATACCAAAATCGTACTATAAGAAATCATACGATCCTACAGTACGAATCATATCACTTTTAACTTCTCGTACGATCTTAGTACGATTCGTCGATCTAGGTAGATCAGAACAGAACACACACTAAACCAAAAATGTATCATATTTCGAAACCCACTGCTAAACTTACTTCTGGAAAATCGCCGAGACTGTGACGACCTTCAGAAACTTAGAATGAAATTAAAAGGGTGTCGGATTCTCCTTAAGCTTCAGCATATACCATCTTAGTATCATCAGTTTTGGTCTGCCGCGGTACTTGCATGCTCGTAGCAAGCTTTTTCAAGTTTGATTCATCATATTAGATACATTTTCCAACCTGACTTGTCTTGATTCGACTTAAGACTTGAGAAACTCTAATTTGTCCAGCTCTACACTTACAATATTCGCGCAGTGTACTTGCATTCTAATCGATTTATTCCAATATGTGTATAATATTTTTTTCACAACTGTGTTTTTCTCTGTGAATGTAATCTGTGCTCAATGTTAGATAAAGTTCTAAGCAAACTCTTCTTTGTACTGTTTTACATAATAAAAAAAAACGTTTTATGTTGACTCAAGGTCATCTTTGATAGAAACACATCATGTTGATAGTTCAGTTTTTTGTATGTGTTCAACATTTAATTGAACCATTTTCTTCTAGAACTACTCCACGTGGATGTTCGACAGTTGCCTTTATTTTAGCAAATTCTTCTCTCATATGGTTACGGTACTCCTCAAATAACTTCCATGCTTGTTCAACATTAATATCATTACCATTATCCACTGCTTTAAATTTTTCATTAAACCACGGTTGATTTGCTCGTTCACATTCTTCTTTTTTAGCTTGAGTGATTCCGCGCATTTCTTCGGAGTATGTTCTAGCAGCTTTAAGAAAAAAAATCCAAGCTTGATCTGCAGTGATATTACGACCTTCGTTGATTGTAGTAAATTGGTACATAAATTCAGCCTTGGCAACCATGGTTACTTGTCAAACTATAGTAATGGTATTGTCTGGAAAAGAAATAAAAAGTATCCGAAGAGTATTAGTATACTGTAGCTTTTTTGAACAATTCAGGGTTTATACCAAGTGAAATAGAAGAAGAGGACACAGAAAATTAGAACAGGAGATTTCTATATATTGTGTTCATTGCTCGTAAGTACGAATTTATATCCCGATTGGGCTTTATGTTTCTGGACTATGTCTCGAGCATTTGTGTCTACTACCGTACCACTAACGAGGGACCTTTCCCAAGTGATAAATCGCTTTCCATCCGTGAGTTATAGGTTATCGATGATGCTAAATTCGAATATCAACATGAGACCTGCTGGTAGGTTCTCCAGGTGCCGGTTTTCTGGAAAACTAGTTTTTCAGAAACTCTAAAATATAACCAAAACCTTCTTAGCAAACCGTGATTGTAGCCCGCAAATTTCTGATTAAGATGAGACGTCTCCTAGCTCTACACGACCTTTCTTTGCAAAATTATGGAATTTACAAGAAAAGCCCTAAATGTTCATTGTCAGCTCAGGGCTACAGATATAAGAAATTAATTTCGGCTTTTCTTGTAAATTTTATAAGTTTTCAAAGAAAGGTCTTGTAGAGCTGGGAGACGTCTCATCTTAATCAGAAATTTGCGGGCTACAATTATGCCTTGCTAAGAAATGTTTTGGTAATATTTTAGAGTTTCTGAAAAACTGGTTTTCGAGAAGACCGGTACTTGGCAGGCCTATCAGCAGGTCTCATATTGATATTCGGATCCAGCATCATCGATAACCTATAACCCACTAGATTTCGGACGGAAAGCAATTTATCATTTGGGAAAGGTCCCTCTGAGCATGGGTAAACAAATTCGAATGATTAATAATTCTTTAACTAACAATTCGTACCTTTGTTTTTCTCGTAAACAATTTCAAAGTCATTATCTGCAATCACATGTTCAGTATTAGACCGATAGCCGATTTTACAGCATAAACTGAGTTATTGTCCTCTTTCTTTTCCTTTTGTATATAGCAGAATCGAGGAACTGTTTTCTCAGTTATACTCTGATCGAGGCTTACGTAGACTAACTGTTTGTAATTGAATAATAAAGCGTGGAGTTCGTTCAGACGAATTAGTACTCTTACCAGCATAGTCTTTCGTTCGGAGCACTTTTCCACTTAAAAAAAGGGTATTTTGTGCTGTTGTCTTAGCTGCTGCTAGTGAAGGCTAAGCGATTTTAATAATTTTGTATGATCACTCACCATCTCACGATCAGGAAATATTTTGATCAAAATGGGATATATATTTCGGTCGGGATATAGAGCATGTGTCTCTACTGCTACATGCGTATGCGTATATGAATATTTGGTATTTCAGAATTTTACTAAAATAGCGGCGAAATGTTCACTCGTGACTCACTCTCATATTGGCTGGGCCACTCCATCCTCTGATGCTTTAAAATACGGAGACAGATCCTGTGTTTCTGCAGTATCATGTTTAAGGTAATTCAATGGGATATGGATCACTCTGTATAGAATTTTTTCCTCAAACATGGAGCCTTATCTCAAAAGAAAGGTGTTAATTTACGTTAATTAATTTAACCGTAAACAATCTTTCAAAAAATGTTCTCTGTGAATATGTTATAACAATGCGATGTAGTCTGATAATATCCAAGAACGTGTCAAAAGTTTAGTTCTCTAGAGAAAAAAGTTCTACTTCTTCTGAACTTCAGAATCTTTCTTTCGAAATAGCTCTCTATGTTTACAGAAAAAATCACGTACAGAATAGGATATGGCTTCATCTTTAAGGTTTAATCTGAAAATGCTTATAGTGAGGGAGAGGGTGAGGAGGTACAGTTCTTTTCGCTACAACATGAAAAACTGATTATTCTCTTCGCTGTTCTAAAATTCTCAATTACTGACGTAAGTATCAGTACTGCTAATACGCTTTTATTGATTTCAATGAAACCCGTTCACAGTTAATTGTTCATGATTCTGACGATAGTTTACCGTGGATTCTAAATTATACTTGTTATTTGATGTGCAACGTAGAATAATATCGGAATAAAAATTGTGCGTATGCCACATATGCTCTATTTGCATGAGTGATCACTATATTATTTATGACTTTGATACACTTTCTACGTTAAACTGGATTCCTCTTTTTTTTACCTATACAAACATAACTGTATACCTACTTTCGAGCATTATTTTTACTCCGTCTCATATCAGAGGTATATTTTCTCATGCACGAGGTGAGAATGAAGTGTGGTATTACTTAGGTGATGATGGGTGAGAAATTTAAAAGCAGCACAGTGAAAAACGTGTGTTCTATGATTTTCATGGTTCCTCGCGTTATTTCTCCTGTTTGCGTACACCAATAACCATCACCATTATCTAATATTTTTTAAAGTTTGATGCAGAATCATACTGGAAACGTGTAAAATTATTCACGACTGTAGTTGTTCTAAGCCTTCTGTTGACCATCTAATTTTTGCTCAATTGCGTCTAACTGTTGTTCCCTTGACTTTAGTCTAGGATGTTATAAAATGGTTGTCCGTCCGTCTGTGCACAAGATACGGAAAAATGGGGTAAGTATAATTTGCCTATCGCCTGTGGATGAGGATTTGTGCAAATCGCCCAATACCGAAGTGTTCAGGTTTTATCAAGTGAAAGCGAAAGGAAAGAGGAAAAAAGAATCAAAAGATGCAACCAATAGTTTATAAGGTAGCCTTCTGTACGTTAATATGCGACTAGCAGAGTGTAAAAGTAATTCGAGTTTGACAGAAAAAAGGCTTGAAAAAGAAGCAAAACTTATATGAAGAAGAGAGCGAGTAAAAGGGCAACACTAACTCATAGATCAGCAGAAGCGGTACTTCTGCCGCGAAAAGAAGGAACAGGAGCTAAAGTTTTCTGTGCGTTTTAAGTAAAACGTCGAGTAAGCTTATTGATTTGATTGATGTTTTCTTTTTTAATCTCGTGAGCGCTTAAGTCAGACTAAAATTTATTTGGGATTATCTTTCTAGATTCGCTTACTCGGCATGGTGAAATTTAAAGTTAATTTTCTACAAAAAGCAAAAACATTCGGTAAATATGGCCGGCTTTGTGGAAAGTGAATGACTTGTGTTGACTTTTTCAAAACATTTCGTGAAAACAGTTGAAAAAGAGGCTATTAAAGTCGATGTCGTAAAATGGCGTAATTATCCTGCTGTGAATAGAGAGCTGCATACAAAAATGTTAAAATTCGTTCGAGAAGATAACAAGCGTAATATAATACGGTTTCAGTACCTTCAACAATCATTGTAAACCACTTATCATTTTCCACTAAAAATGGTTGAAATTTATAGTGGTATTAAAAATATGACGTAGGATATCTTAGGTCAGGATTCGAATATTTCCTGAATGGATGCGCCACATAACTGGACCCAACCCCACTCTCGATGGACTCAAGCAGAACTCGGCGAGCTCTACAAACCTCACACATTCGGCTCTAAACTTCATTACAGCAAGCCAGTCAAAAAACGAAAATAACCCGAATCCTAACTACAACGCTATTTATATGTTCTTTTCAACTCAAATTAGGTGTCAGTATTAGACCTAAATGAGTGTGTTTATCCACAAAAGCTAACTTGATGCTGTTAATAACTAATGGTGGAGCTGTAGACAGCGGATCTAGCGTAAACAACATTCCTGCACACTTTTTAACATTTAAAAACAGTGCCCATTTGGCTGACCATGCAGCGATTTCAGCAAGATCTTGATTCATAACTTTGACTGCCGTTGACTGCCAGTTGCGGTTATGTAGAAAGACACATTATCTGCGAATAATTCACAAGTTGATCTAACCCCTACACAGTGGGCATCTAGGCGGGCATTAGGTGAAAAATCGAAGTTGCTCCTTTTTCAAAAACAAATAGTCTAGAATGTAGCCCTTGAAAAGGGCTATCGAATGGTATATAAATGCCTGTTGTGATGTTCACTCCTTCGCAGAGAAAAACGGGTACAAAACAGTACTGTGTTATACTACTTTTAGCGACATCTTGAGAGTTATTTGTTCATTTTACTTGCTTCGTTGCATTAAATGGCTACACAAA